GGGAACATTGACACTGCTCAGTTGAAGACCACACTCTGGATTTTCTCAGGATTCTCAAGAAAGCCTGACCCACGGGAGGCTGAGGTGGGAGGACTGCTGGAGCCAGGAGGTAGAGACTAGAGTGAGGTTTGACTGCACTACTGCACTCCAGCCTGGGAGACAGAATAAGATCCTGTTTCAAAAAAATTTTCTTTTTTTACAGGAGTTGTTAAACTTTAGAAGAGGGAAAAAAAGAAGAAGAAAAGAGAAAAGAAAAAACAATTTTTTTAAAAAAGTTCAGTTGTCCGAGAGCGGTGGCTCGTACCTGTAATCCCAGCACTTTGGGAGGCTGGGGCAGGTGGATCACTTGAGGTCAGGAGTTCAAGACCAGCCTGGCAGACATGGTGAACCCTCATCGCTACTAAAAATACAAAAATAATTAGCCAGGTGTGGTAGCGGGCGCTTGTAATCTCAGGTATTTGGGAGGCTGACACAGAAGAATCACTTGAATCTGGGAGGTAGAGGTTGCAGTGAGCTGAGGCTGTGCCACTGCACTCCAGCCTGGGCAAGGAAGCAACAGTCCAACTCAAAAAAAAGAAAAAAAAAAAAAAAAGAAAGGAAAAGAAAAAGAAGAAGCAATCCTGACCCAGAAAATGCCCGTACCCCAAGTAACACATTGCTCCGCAGACTTCCAAATAACATAACCATCCCTCACAAATGCCTTAGACCTTATCACTGACAAAATTCTCTATAGATCTTTACAATAGCTAGGAAAGGGAGTCTGGGAATCTCTTACCAATGATCCCATTTCACAGACAAATAAACTGAAGCTCATGGTGGTGAAATAATTGGTGTGGTGTTTACCCAGTGCTAGTGGTAGAACTGACTTCCCGGATTGGGAGATGTGCTTTGTTGTTGTTTTCTTTTTTTTTTTTTTTGAGACAGGGTCTCACTGTCACCCAGGCTAGAGTGCAGTGCTACAATCATGGCTCACTGCAGCCTCGACCTTGCAGGGTTCAGGTAATCCTCCCACTTCAGCCTCCCTAGCAGCTAAGACTACAGGCACATGCCACCACACCTGGCTAATATTTTTGTATTTTTAATAGAGAAGGAATTTCACAATGTTGCCCAAGGCTGCTCACAAAGTCCAAGCAATCTTCCAACCTCAGCCTCCCCAAATGCTAAGATTATCTGACCTATGCAGACACTCTTAATTTTTTTGTTTTTTTGAGACAGAGTCTCGCTCTGTTGCCAGGCGCTAGGCTGGAGTGCAGTGGCACAACCTTGGCTCACTGCAACCTCTGCCTCTAGGGTTCAAGCAATTCTTCTGCCTCAACCACCCCAGTAGCTGGGACTACAGGCAGGCACCACCACACCTAGCTAATTTTTGTACGTATTTTAGTAGAGGCAGGGTTTCACTATGTTGGCCAGGCTGGTCTTGAACTCCTGACCTCGGGTGATCTGCCCACCTCAGCCTCCCAAAGTGCTGGGATTACAGGCGTGAGCCACCTCGCCTGGCCTTAATTATTTTTTTTAGGAGACAAGGTCTTGCTCTGTTGCCCAGGCTGGAGGGCGGTGGTGTGATCACAGCTCACTGTAGTTCCCAGGTGACACTGATGCTGCTCAGCTGAGGACCACACTCTGAGCTTCATCCTTTCTCAGAATTCTCAAGAAAGCCTGAACCAGGCGCAGCTGAGCTCCAACTCCTGCGCTCAAGTGATCTTCCAGCCTCAGCTTCCTGAATAACTGGGATGACAGACACACACCAGAATTTCATGCCTGGCTATGAAATTCTTTTTTTTTTAATTTTTTTTTTTTAGACAGTCTTGCTCTGTCACCCAGGCTAGAGTACAATGGCGTGATCTTGGCTCACTGCAACCTCCGCCTCCCAAGATCAAACGATTCTCCTGCGTCAGCCTCCAGAGCAGCTGGGATTACAGGCGCTGGCCGCCATGCCCGGCTGGTTTTTGTATTTTTTAGTAGAGAGGGGTTTTCACCATGTTGGTCAGGCTGGTCTCAAACTTCACACCTCCACTCATCTCGACCTCCCAAAGTGTTGGGATTACAGGCGTGAGCCATTGTGCCCAGGCCTGAAATTCTTAATTTCTGAACAAAAGGCCCCACACTGATATTTTGTTCTGGGCCCTGCAAATTCTGTAGCTGGTCCAACATACAAATTCTGAGAAGAAAATTTACAGATGCCTAGCATGCAGGCTAAACTGAGCCTAACAGTTCAATCCAATTCCTTTCTTTTCTTTCTTTCTTTTTTTCCCCAATACAGAGTCTCACCCAGGCTCTGTTGCCCAGGCTGGAGTGCAGCGGTGAGATCTCAGCTCACTGCAACCTCTGTCTCCCAGGTTCGAGCGATTCTCATGTGTTTACCTCCCAAATAGCTGGGATTACAGGCGTGTGCCACCACACCTGGCTAATTTTTGCATTTTTAGTAGTGACAGGGTTTTGTCATGCTACCCAGGCTGGTTTTGAACTCCTGGGCTCAAGCGATCTGCCCGCCTTGCCTCCCAAAGTGCTGGGATTACAGGCATGAGCTACCGCGTCTGGCCTCCAACACCTTACTTTTTCTAAGGAAACCAAGTACCTCACGTTAGTTTTACTGATTCTTGGAGTTAAGCAGACCTGGGCTGCGGCCCGAGGCTGCAACTGACCAGCCGTGAGAACACAGGCTCACTGTGTATTTAAGATAGCTTGGCCACTATTTCCTGTTTCCCCAGTTGTGAAAGGAGGAGAGTGAACTGGGTGGAGTATCCTCAGCCCTGATAACATACATCAGTCACTGAGGGAGGGGAGATTAATATTCTGATTCAATTGGTCTGAGGTGGAGATAAGAAAAAAGCTCCCAGGGTTTGGAACCACATCTCAGCCTCAGGAACCTTCAGGCTCCAGCGCTTGGAGTTTGGATGGTTTATTCTAGGACTTCTACAGAAACATCTTGAACCTTCTTGCAAGTTCCCAGGCAGCTGGGAGACCTCTTTTCTCGAAACATTTGCGTCCCACATCCCCACAAGGATCCAAACCTCCTCAGTTTCAGATTTTCTTTTTCGTATTTTTTTTTTTACTGAGACAGAGTCTCACTCTGTCACCCAGGCTGGAGTGCAGTGGTGCGATCGCAGCTCACTGCAACCTCCACCTCCAGGGTTCAAGTGATTCTCCTGCCTCAGCCTCCTGAATAGCTGGGACTACAGGTGCATGCCACCACGCCTAGCTAATTTTTGTATTTCTAATAGCAAGAGGGTTTCACCATGTTGGCCAGGCTGGTCTTGAGCTCCTGACCTCAGGTGATCCGCCTGCCTCGGCCTCCCAAAGTGCTGGGATTACAGGTGTGAGTCACCACACCTGGCTAGTTTCAGATTTTCTAAGGTATGCGGGGTTCTGCAGTTGCCCAAGGACTGGGCCTGAGCCACTAAGAATTCTTCCCCAGAAAGGAAAGATAGCCCCATGTTCATGCTAGGAAAATACAAAAGCCTATTTTGTTTTGCAAATTAAGTGTTCTCCTGGATAGCATTTAAGGAAATAGATTCTGGCATGTGAACAGGCAAAAATAGAATAAAAATTCCTAGCAAGTAGAGTGTAATCCTGTTAGTATAAGAGCGTGCATTGGCTGGGCGAGGTGGCTCATGCCTGTAATGCCAGCACTTGGGAGGCAGGTGGATCACGAGGTCAGGAGATCAAGACAATCTTGGCCAACATGGTGAAACTCCGTCTCTACTAAAAATACAAAAATTAGCCAGGCATGTTTGCATGTGCCTGTAGTCCCAGCTACTCAGGAGGCTGAGGCAGGAGAACCACTTGAACACGGGAGGCAGAGGTTGCCATGAGCCAAGATCACACCACTGCACTCCAGCCTGGGTGACAGAGCAAGATTCTGTCTCAAAAAAAAAAAAAAAAGCGTGCATTTACGTCTATAACTACATAGGTATAAATGAACAGAAGAGAGATCAGGAAGGTGGCCACCATTATGTTGACAGTAATTCTCTTTTTTCTCTTTTCCCTTTTCAGTTTGAGTTTTAGTAAACAGGAGCACTTGTTTTTATCATCTGAGAATAAAGCTACTTCCTTTCTGAGCTGTAGGGGTAATTTACATCTAAGTGGGAGGAAGGTTTATGAAGTTTGAGGTTCTGCTATTTTTCTAAGTCTAAAATCTATTTTCTAGTAAGTTGCTGGTGTGCTAGAATAATGATGAACGAGAAACATTTGCTCATGGTGAATCTTGTATATAAAAATAGAACACGTTCTAAGGAAGCCATTCATCCTCATTTAAAAAATGACTTTTTAAAAAATCTAAGAAGCAGGATCTACCCTCCAGTGACCTCCCCAGCGGGGGATCTGGAGCTGAGAGGGAGGACGCTGACCCCAAGTCACCCAGCCCTGGGACCGGTTCTGCTCCGAGGGTGGAAAGGATCTGGAGCCAGGGCTGGAAGAATTCCCGTGGGGACTCGAATGGTCCAGCGCCGTGGGGAAGGGAGGGGAGTGGAGGGTGCTGGACAGTTGCAGCCGGGAGGGGAACCGGTGTCACTTTCCGCAGCCCCCAGCGCGGTGGCCCTTATATAGACACTCCGCTGGCGCTCCCACTCCGCGTGCCAAGGTCAAGAAGGGAGGTCACACCTGCGTGCGGCCAGGGCAGCTGCATCGCCCCCCACCTGCACCCTCGCTACGACCAGCGCCCCTGGCCCAAGTTCCTGCAGCTCTGACCCAACAAGGAGTCCTGGCCTTCTCTCCACCCCTCCCCAAAGCACCTGCACCCCCTCCTCTAAACTGGCGCACGCCTCTCCTTCCCCTCCCCCAGCTTCAGCGTCCTGGGGGCTTCTACCCTGGGCTCACCCCCGCCCAGGTTCATCGCGGGAGAACCCCACGATTCTCGCGCCTGCCCACTCCCACGATGCAATCCCTGAACCTGTCCCCCCGCTCCCTTCACCACGTACGGGCTTCTCCTCTCCGCGCACCCCGAGCTGCTCCCGCCCGCGACCCCCGCTACCCGCCCCTTCCAGCCCCAGACCCCGGCTCACCTGGCTCATACTTGAGGTAGAGGATGGAGACGATGAAGTAACTGAGGTCGAAGACTGGGAAGAGCGGCACCCGCGAGAAGCTGAGCGCCAGCTCGCCCAGGCTCAGCGCCGAGAGCAGCTCCATGGCGCCCGCCCGCCGGTGCCACCCGGGGCCCCGGCCTCGTCCGTCCCGCCGCCAGCGGCCCAGCGACTGCGCCCCCGCAGCTGGGCCCGCCCCCGCCCTCCAGGCGCCACCCCAGGCCCGGCCCCCGCGGGAAAGGAGGGGCGACGGCCCACCCCGGGACAGGTGGTGGGGACGCCGAGCCCCACGGATGGAGCCGGACGGTCGGGCGTCCCAGACGCTGACCCTCGTGCCATCGCGACCCCGTTCCACCCAGGGAGGAGGGGTGCGGGGCCCCAGTGCAAGGCGAGAGGGGCTGGGGGGCTACCCATTCTGGAGGCCCGTCCCTCATGCGGGGCACCGGTTCCCAGGGGGCCGAATCAGCCAGAGCTGGTCTCCATTGGCTCAAGTAGGAGGACCCCGATCTTCGGTGGAGCACAATGAGGACCCTTACGCCCTGGTGGGACCCCATGAATCACAACCCCTGATCCCCGTGGAAATTGGATCGGTTAGGACCTCCGTCCTCTGCGGGGTCCGGTCAAGACTTTCCTGCCCCACAGGGTCCGTTAGATCAGGAACCCCGTCCTCGGTGGGGCTCCGGAAGTCAGGACCCCAGAGTCTTGTGGGGAGCAGCTCAGTGGGGATCCCTGCCCCCCATGGGGCCCTAAAGGATCTCATTTGAGAACCCAGTTGGTTGCGGCGCCCGTTTCGAGGAGCCCACTGCGTCGGGACCCCGCACTCAGTGCAGCTCCGGAGTCAAAAGGATTCCTTTTCTCCAGAAGCCCAATTTGGGACCCCAGCAAATGAGTGGGAATTGCTGCCCAGCTAACCCTACGGCACACGAGACCTCACGCAAGCGCGGCACGCTTCGAACCCGTGACCCAATCCCGCCCCAGAAGACCCCGCCCCTGAGTGAGGTCAGACGCTGGCCCCGCCCCTTCTATTCCGGCTTCGGGACCTCCCCAACAAGGTGGGGCGCTCGTGCTCCCCTAAAGGGGCCTGGCCTGCAGAGGGCGGGACCCTCCCGACCTTCACCTTCGATTGGCCCAGCCCTCGCCAACGTTGCTTTAGGATTGGTCGGATTGTGCTCCTCTCCACCCCCCTCTTCCCTGGGGCTTCCGCTTCCGGCTCTGACAACCGCTTCGGACGTAACGATGATCGGAGACATCCTGCTGTTCGGGTAATTAGGGGGACCAGAGGCCGGGAAGAGAGAGCCAGACAGGACGGGGGGCGCCCCTAGTAACCATAAGTCTCCTTCTGCAGGACGTTGCTGATGAATGCCGGGGCGGTGCTGAACTTTAAGCTGTGAGTAGGCCGCTCCTGACTGCGGCTCCATCCGGGGGACCTGTAGTCCCGCCCTCATAAGCGTCATCTCGCGGCACGTCGCAGGCCCCGCCCTACTCGCCTCTGGCCACGCCTCCAGCCTGGATTACCCTCCTTTGACCCTCCTCGCCATCGAGCGGCGTTAAATCCATACTCTGCGTTCCTTTAGTGTCCCTCTGCTCGCTTTCTTGGAGAGCTTAAGACCCATCCCCCAAGAAACAGCCCCAACCCGGATTCTCAACCCTGGACCCGCACTGTGAGGCCACTTTGTAAACTGTCGGTGGCTGCGGACCTGGCTGTGGTTGTCCGGGCTGTGGTGGCCCACAGAGGGAAACTGAACCGTCCGAGATCACACAGCAAGTCGGCGGCAGGGCCAGGGCTGAAGCTTAGTGTTTGTGGCCTTCTGAGGTGGGGGTCAGGGGACCGAGGAGTCTATGTCCCACTGAAAGTGGTCACTGTCTGCTTCTCTTTGTAGGAAAAAGAAGGACACGCAGGGATTTGGGGAGGAGTCGAGGGAGCCCAGCACAGGTAAGGTCTTTTTCCTGGACCCTGGAATTGCATGGTCCACTTCAGAGAGGACAATTCTGTTTCATTAAGTCCTACCCTCGTTTGCTTTATTTTTTCTTTTCCTTCCTTCCTTCCTTCCTTCTTCCTTTCTTCCTTCCTTCCGTCTTTCTTTCTGTCTTTCTTTCCTTTCACAAGGTCTCGCTCTGTTGTCCAGGCTGGAGTGCAGTGGTGCCGTCATGGCTCACTGCAGCTAGGCATCCTGGGGTAAAGTGATTCCTCCACCTCAGCGCCCTTAGTAGCTGGGATTACAGGCACGTGCCACCATGCCAGGCTAAATTTTGAATTTTCTTGTAGGAGTTTCTCCACGTTGTCCAGGCTGGTCTCGAACTCCTGGGTTCAAGTGATCCCCTGCCTTGGCCTCCCAAAGTGCTGGGATTATAGACATGAGCCACGAGTTTTCTCCTTAATTGAGCAGTGCGTGTGAGTGGAAGATGAGCTAAGGATGTGCGATCCTTTCTACCTACCTCTGTCATCTGCTGCTTTCTCCCACCAGACCTCCCTGATGTGAGCACTCACGTCACTTCCTACCTTTATAATTTTCTGTTATGTGTGCTATCATCTGGCTAATGTCTGCCCCTCACATTTGACCGCAAACTTCAGAGGCCCTAGCTCGGCTGGACTTGTCCCATTCTTTGTCCTTGCCGTACCAGTCCTCTGATGCCTGTAAATGAATGAATGAGTGAATCAATGAATGAACGAACAATCTCACACTTAGCTGTTGATTTCACAGTGCTGCCGCCCTGCTACTTTTAAAATTAGATGCCAACATTACATTTTTAATCAGGAGATTTTATATAAAAATTCAGGTGTCTGATTTTTCTTGAAAAATCGGAACATTCTGCAACTCAAGATTCAGGAGAGCTCTTGACATCTATTTAAGCGTAGTTGAAAACAAGTGCTCTGACTCATCCAAGCCCTAACCCCTTCATGTCTGTCATCTGCCTGGGCCCTGGAGGCCCAGAATTTACACTTCCTGCTGAATTAATTATGTAACTGTTTGGATTGTAAGGGGACCTGTACATGACTATTATATCCATTCATTCATTCTTTCATTCACCAGATACTTGAGCACCTACGCATGCTGGCTACTGTGTTAGGTGCTGGGATACAGCAGGGGTAAGATGCGTAGAGTGGAACTTACCATGGGATGGGACTCATGATTTCTAAGGGAGGAATAAATGGTGACAGATGTGATGTTAGGTGACAGGGAAAGGGAGCCACAGCATGGTGATGGGGTTGCCCTCCTGTTGGGGTGTGGGAGGGAAGGCCATTTGAGGAGGTGGCATCGTAGTTAAGGTGGCGGATGCCATGACGGAGCACTGCCCAAGGATGGGAGAACCCTGAGGAACAGAGGTTTTCTTTTAGAGACAGGGTATTGTTCTGTTGCCCAGGGTGGAGTGTCGTGGCACATTCGTAGCTCATGCATGAGATCCTGGGTCCAAGTTCAGCCGGGAACACCTCTTGTCTCAGCCTCCCAAGTAGCTGGGACTACTGGCACTTAGCACCACTTCTGGCTAATTTTCTAAAAATTTTTTTTTGAGACAGAATCTTGCTCTGTCACCAGGCGCCAGGCTGGAGTGCAGTGGCGTGATCCTGGCTTACTGCAACCTCTGCCTCCCGGGTTCAAGTGATTCTCCTGCCTCAGCCTCCCGAGTAGCTGGGACTGCAGGTGGACACCACCATACCCAGCTAATTTTTGTATTTTAGTAGAGGCAGGGTTTCACTATGTTGGCCGGGATGGTCTTGATCTCTTGACCTCATGATCCACCCACTTCGGCCTCCCAAAATTTTGAGATTACAGGCATGAGCCACCGTGCCCGGCCTTCTAAATTTTTTTTTTTTTTTTTTTTTTTTTTTTTGAGATAGGCATCTGACTGTGTTAACCAAGCTGGTATCTATCTCTTGGCCTCAAGTGATCCTTCCACCTCGGCCTTCCAAAGTGCTGGGATTACAGGCATGAGCCACCATGCCTAGCTGAGCATCTTGCTGTGTTAACCAAGCTGGTATCCATCTCTTGGCCTCAAATGATCCTTCCACCTCAGCCTCCCAAAGTGCTGGGATTACAGGCATGGGCCACCATGCCTGGCTGAGCTGAGATTTTGAAGACATTCCAACAGCTCCCCTTTTGGGGGGCCTGCCTCTGGGTGGTGACCCAGTTAGGTGCTTCCTGTTAGTGTTTCATTCTACCTCCATCCATAAAAGATCATGATCACTTTCCCATTTTACAGATGAGGAAGCTGAGGGTCAGAAATGGGGCTCAACTTTTTTTTTTTTTTTTTTTGAGATAGAATTTCACTCTGTCACGCTGGCTGGAGTGCAATGGCCCAATCTCAGCTCACTGCAACCTCTGCCTCCCAGATTCAGGTGATCTCCTGTCTCCCAAGTAGCTGGGATTACAGGCATGCACCACCACACCTGGCTAATTTTTGTATTTTTAGTAGAGACGGGGTTTCACTATGTTGGCCAGGAAGGTCTCCAACTCCTGACCTCATGATCTGCCTGCCTTAGCCTCCCAAAGTGCTGGGATTAAAGGCGTGAGCCACCACATCCGACCAGTTTTGGTATTTTCAGTAGACACAGAGTTTCACCATGTTAGCTATGCTGGTCTTGAACTCCAACTCCTGGCCTCGTGATCTACCTGCCTCAGCCTCCCAAAATGCTGGCATTACAGGCATGAGCCATGGCACCCAGCCTTTGTAGCTCAGCTTTTTTGTGGCCACATAGCAAATCAATGAGAGAATCAGGATTGGAACCAGGGATTTTTTTACTCTAGCAGTTGTACGCTCGATCACTAGATCATTTCTCCATCCGTTTATCCATCCGTACATATGTTTATTGACTCAGCAGCCGTGCGTTACCCACCACGTGGAAGGCACTATACCAGGCCTTGGGGTTGCGCTGTACAGATCCGAATCACAGCTGCTGTGGGCGGGAGATTTGGCACAAAGTGGTGGGAGCATCAGTGACAGGGATGGCAGGAAGGGCACCAGTGCTCTATCAGGAGCTTCCTGCTTTGCTCTCTGCTCTCCTTCCAGCCCAGATGCCGCACCTGCCGCTTCCCCTGTGGGGGCTGCTCCTCACCCTCCATCCTGTTTGCCTGGCTTAAGTCTAATACCGTAGTGGCTGTGTTTGTTGAGAGCTTCATGTGTGCCAGGCACTGTGCTAAGGTCTTCCTAGCTGCCTGTCCCCCTGGTGACACAAGAGGAAATGCAC